TAAGTGGCTAGCGCTCTGCACTCAGTACCACAGGTTTCGGGTTCGAGTCCCGGCGGTGCCATGTATGTTTGTAATGGTTCTGAATCCACTTTAAGCAGTAGGTTCCGATCTCATATGACTGTAGAGCTGGCAACCCTGCCCCGTAAAAAGAAAAACATCTCTCGTCTCGAAATCTACCAGTAGTTAGACGGCCTTGGCCCACAACGGGCTGTTGTGCTAATGATGATGATGACTTCATAATAATACAATCTTATATTAAGTGTTACAGTTCAGTTAAAAGATCATGTTTGCATCTAATAATTGAGAAGTCGTTCACGAATTTCAGTTCTTTTTAATATATGCATATCATGTATAAATCAATCCGCCACAGAAACTCTGACACATCAACAAGTTTCTTTTCAATAGAGAGTTTTTGTTTCTTTAGACGAAACAAAATGCTCATAGGAAACATAATTTCCTATGAGCATGCGCGCTAGGGAGAAAAAGCTAACGGACGTCCTACGGTAACTAACGTACGGTATGCAAAAACTCTCTAATATCTCTCAAATTTAACTGGCTCACTATTGATAGGTAAAAGTTTTAAAATATACTCAAAAAGGCTAGAAATGTACGTTAAAAAAAAAATTTTTTTTTAATTTGCATTAACCATATTACTAAGAGATTTGGCGATTCGCCAAATGTGTCGTCATTATCGCCAAGTTGGTGGTATTTTGATTATGTTAGTAGTACAATTTCATAATTTCGTAGAGAAAATTTAAAAATTCTTTTAAAAAAATAAAATTCAATAAACTTTTGAACTGCAAAATGTTTTTAGAATCTCAATTTTTTTTTCTAATACAGCTGGCAAATACTTAGATAGTTGTCTTGGATGCATTAAGACAAGCGCTGCACCGACATTACTCACTTAGCACTACCCAGGAAGTGCGTCTAGCTTGAAGATAAGCTACGGACGCGGGGTAACTATACCCCCGCAACGCTCTACGATCATGTTTCAGCGGGACCTATGGTTTAAAGTGGATTCCGAACCACTACAAACATCCATGGTACCGCCGAGACTCGAACCCGAAACCTGTGGTACCGAGCGCCAAAGCACTAGCCACTCGGCATCAGGCTCCCATTTCAAATTTATTTTATGATAATTTTGTACTTTTTTGTATTAAACAAACATTCATCCAATGAAATTATCTAATTGAAAAATCCAGAATAGAGATCCTTATTTTTATTACAATATTTCAGAAAGTTACAACTTACATACGCTTAGCGTCATAATAGGGTTTCTAAAATTCGTGGTACGATAAAACAAAGTGTAATTTTAGATTCAAAAAATTTTGTAAAAAAATAAGACCACATATTTTCCTTACTTATAAAATGAAAGTAAACAATAAGTTGAAAAATAGCAGTTTTTTCATACAGATGGAAGGGTTTTTTTTATTTGACAAAATTTAACATCTGATTGTTAAGCAAGTCAAAAGCATTGTTCTTTTTTTCCCCATACGATACTATACTATTTTATTATTGATACTATACTATTAAAGTTAATATTAGCTACAACATTCCGCATGTGCCGTAAGTAAAACTCCTCAAACTAGTAAACAAATATAACTAGTGACGTTTTTTCGAATATAACTTTAATATAAAATGGACTAAATCGCGAAATAGGGGTCATTGAGATTTGGCAACTTTTTTGTGGCGCCAACTGGATGATAAATTGCCAAATGTGGTATCCCGGGTTTCTTGTACTGTTTATAATTCACTTCATTTTGACACCAAATACCAACGGCCTCTATTCTGTGTTTTTATCATAATATGTTTTATGTAACAGTAATCCAGTCTTTAGTTATTAAAACAATCATTACGTACATAAAAGGCATTTATTTATGCATCACATTAAAATTAATTTCCATTAAATAGTTCTAGAAATTATATTTTTAAATAACAGAGACATCTATCTTACTCTTGACTGATGCCACACAGTGAGAATAAAATAATATTCTTTTTGAAAAAATTGTAACACTTTGAAATCAAACCAAATGCAACTTCCAAAATAAATTGAGGAAAATTTAATGACTGCCAACAAAAATATTCTCGGAAAGTAAACAGAAAAAACTTTTCATTTTTGTCGAATTTATGCATCCTTTAGTTTGAAGCGCATACTTAAATTAAACTTATTATATGTTCTGAGAGAGTAATTTTCCCATCTGTTTGCATATTCGTGTTTACAGAAAAAGTAATTATTTTCTCTTCGGGAAAAAAAAGCTCTTTTCAGTCATTTGAGTATCAAAGTAATTACTTCTAAATGCATTTTTTTTTCTTTTCACTGAATTTGAATAGATTGTGAATATAATTATAAATATTTCTTTTTCTTTCTTATTATTAAAAAAAATTTAGAACAATAATTTTTTTAATGTGTTTTAGATAAAATTGAAATGTTCTTGTTATTTTATGTTGCATGGTTTTTAAACAAATTATTTTTACACAGATAATTAAATTCTTTAGTAAAAAATAAATTTTGCTGCCTTTATATTACATTTTTAATGTGCCGTTTTCAAAAATCAAAAGCTTTGATTTATAATTCTAATTAAACTTTGTGTAAATTTCTATATATTTAAGGCAAGAAATTTGTTTAATATCTGTATTTCTTAGAACTTTAAATCTGTAACACTGGAAGTTCAATATTTTGGATAGAGTTTCATTTTTTATCCCCTGAATTTATATTTTTTGAAACTATAGACGTGTGTTAGAATAATGGATTACATTTTGTTTTTATCAAAAAAAAATATGATATCACGATTTAGCTTCTGGAGCAGGATTTTTTAATATACGAGTGCTTGTTGTGATGCTTACAAAAAAATAATAATAATTTCTAAAGATTAATTCTTAGTAATTTTACTTTTATAATATTTTAATTACAAGTATAAATATTCTTTCTATTTTACTGAGTGGCAACATTTAAATTTATTTCTCTTAGAAATCATTGAAAAACAACTCTAAACATATCGTTTGCAACTTTTAAGTTCAGTAAATAATTAATTAGGTAAAAATAAATTAATAGTTAAAAAATACGCTTTTAGAGTTAATCAATCTAAAAAGTAAAAAATAATTGTTAACATAAGAATAAAATGACTGACGAGAAAATGAATGTCACTGTTCTAAAATCGTGGGGTGCTCGATATCAATCGTTATAATTTCTCACTAGTTTCATTCCGAAATGCAGAGTTAGTTTAAAAATGTCATACAAAGCACCCCACGCTTTTAGAACAGTGACATTCATTTTCTCGTCAGTCATTTTATTCTTATGTTAACAATTCTTTACTTTTAGTTTGATTAACTCTAAAAGCGTATTTTTTAGTTTTTTTTTAAACTATTAATTTATTTTTTACTTTTTAGTCTGATTAACTCTAAAAGCATATTTTTTTAGTTTTTAAAGTATAATTGTTTTTACTTTGTTTTCCACTTGGCCGGTTATCCGCTAAGTTTACATACTTTTTACCCACCGAAATTTTCCCAATAGGAAGAGCGCGAATGATTTATGCCTTTGAGATCCGCCTCTTTTTAGCCACCGAAATTTTCGGCCAATAGGAAGAGCGCAATTCGATCGCGGATCAGTTGACTGACTCGCCAGTAGATGGCGCCATCAGTCCCAAAATCGAGCCCAAAAAGTGAGTTACATACAAACATACAGGTGAAGCTAATAAAAGCGTATTAATAAGAATGAATCGACTGGAATGGTTTTTTTAAGAATATCCCGAAAATTCTGAACGAACTTATTTTATATTTAACTTCATGAAATTCACATGGGTAAGTTAATCTATTATTCTAAAATAAGAATATTTTGATTAGAATAATCTTTGAGAATAGTTATTTAATTCGAATAAGAACATTTCGATTAGAACAATGTTTGAGAATTAATTAAATTATAATTAACTAATTATCTAAATAGCAAAAGATTTTCCTCATAAAACTATATTTATTTATTTATTATCACATTTTTAAATCTTTTTTTTAATTTGATTTTAAGGTTTATATGCTTTAATTAGAGGTTAGGCTTAATTAACATTTTGGGCCAAATCGCAAAATAGTGACCGTTGGAATTTGGCGACTTTTTCTAATTCCAACTGAGCGATAAGTCGTCAAATGTGGTAATCCGGCTTTCTTGTACTACTTGCAATTTACTTCCCTTACAATCGCAACCCTTCTCTTGGCGCACTTCGGCGAAAAAAAATGTCGACGTCAAATCCCTAATCTGCAATTTTGTCACATTTTGTATCGGCTGCATTATTCTTAAAACAATACGAGGAAAGTATTTAACCGCTAAATGAAAAATTTAATAATAGGGTCGAAATCGTCTTGTGTTTCTTTAATTCTGCTAATTTATTAAATATTCTTATATTCATAAAGCTTACTAAGAAAAATATGACACAATTCCAAAGGATTGACGACGGGTATAGAATAGTAACCTCATAAAGTAAAAGATTTCGGTCTATGTTATTACTATCTTAATTTTCTATATATTTAAAATTTAAAAACTGAAACTTTTCTCACTGAATATATTGTTTGTTTTATCTGGTATGTAGACAAAAATCACAAAAGTTCTTACTAATTATATTTTAATCGCCTAAAGACTGAAAATTTTACAGAAAAATTTCAGATAAAATCACAGAATAGGGGCCGTTGGGATTTAGCCTCGAAAATTCTTTTCGCCAATGTCTGTCAATAAAGGGTTGCGATTGTAAGTAAAATGAATTGCGAAAAGTACAAAAAATCCGAAATACAAAATTTGGTGATTTATCACTAACTTTATATTTGGCGATTTTTGCCAAATCCCAACGGTCTCTATTTTGCGATTTGGCCAAATTTTACTTTTATAGTCTAATAATCGCCTGCTTCCATCGGAAATAAATATTCCCAAAAATAATTAAATAAATTAGTCGTAGCTTAAAAATTACATCAAATAAAATGGTGAATTTTTTCTTTGTATTTATTATATTTTATTCTAACGAGAACACCGAAGTCAAGCATCATTGGGCGCGGTCAGTACTTGGGTGGGTGACCACCTGGGAACACTGCGTGACGTTGGCAAATTTGGGACCTGAATGGCCGAGTGTCTAGCGCTCTGGCGCTCGGTGCCACAGGTTTCGGGTTCGAATCCCGGCGGTGCCCATGGATGTTTGTAGTGGTTCGGAATCCACTTTAAGCCGTAGGTCCCGGTCTTCTATGACTGTAAGAGCGTCACGGAGCAAAAGTCAGGCTTTTACCTACGGGTGCTCCATCACAACAGAAGCTGCTTCGTTCTCCTTCAATCATGAGTCCATATGGGCTCGTGGGCTTGGCCAGCCAAGTGGGATAAGAAACAACAACAACAACAAACATATTTTATCCAGTAAAATCACAAAGAAATTTTAGTTATTTTTTATGTAAATGTAAAAATTTATAAAAAAAATTAGTAATAAAATTAAATCTTCTGTAATCATTTAGGAAGTTTTTATGGTTGTATTCTTCTGCTTGAATTCATTTTTATTTTCTAAATTCTTTTTATTTATTTATTGTCAAGCTTTTTATCTTTGTCATAACAGAATAAAATTTTTGTGTGTTAATTCTGCTGTTAATTTTACGATACCACTGTGATATTAACTTGAACCACGAACTGATATTTTTTTTTATTCAAAAATTGTTACACTTCTTTCGTAACGATGTTTTGCGTTGATATTTTATTTTACTTCAAAATTTAATGTTTTTTATTAATTAGTAATGACATTCATTTTTATTAATTCTTATCTGCGACTCGTATTTTGTGTACTTTTTTTAAAGTACTGTCCTTTCCTTTCATTCACAACTCTCACAAGTTTCTTTCTTTATGTTATTGATTGAGAAATATTGGTTATTTTTCTCTGTGACACAAAAGTATCGTCTATTTTTATCCTCCAAAAAATCTTATTTCAACGTGGTTTTATAAAACTGATTTTTTATGAAACTTCCTAAGAAAATAGAATTCCACAAATTGCAGGCAGGGGTCTATAAACTGCAGCGATAAATTCTAAGGTTTTTAGTAATTCATGAACTATACGTAAGAAATTAAACTAATTTAAATTCGATGAAAAAAATCTTCACTATAGATATAAATAAAAATAATTTCTTTCAATTTCAATTTTGTAATTTTTATTACATTTAATATGCTTTATGTTCATGTATTCCGATAATTTAGCTGTTAATAATGTAAAAATCGGAATTTGAATTTAGATAATTATTTATTTTTTTTAAATCGCATTATATTTTATGTTAAATTTATTTAATTATTTCTTTCCTTTTCCATATTTTAAGCTATATATTAATTATTATGCGTATTTTTATTTCTTTATTTGAATAACAATAATCATCATCAGTAGCACAACAGTCTCATGGTGGGCCAAGGCCGTCTGTCTTTTGGCACATTCCGAGATATGAGATGTTTGTCTTTTTACGGGATAAGATTGTCAGCCCTACGCTATGCAGTCATATTAGGTGGGGCCTGAATGGCCGAGTGTCTAGCTCTCGGTGCTACAGGTTTCGGGTTCGAGTCCCGATAATGTCATGGATGTTTTTAGTTGGTTGGAATCGACTTTAAACCGTAGGTCTCGGTCTCATATGACTGTAGAGTGTCACAGACCCCAATCAGACTTCTCACTCACATCATTCTTAAACTGTAAAGAGGCAACTCGGCTCTAAGCACAGTTATATGGTGTGGTGCAGTAATAGTCGTATTAGACCGTGACTTATGGCTCAAAGTGGATTCCGAACCACTGCAAACATCCATGGCACCGCTGAGACTCGAACTCGAAACCTGTTTTAACCGAGCGCTAGACACTGGGCCATCAGGCTCCATAATTTAATTTAATGTCACAATTTCCGTTCAAGCACAGAACTTTATTAGTAAACATTTAGATAGTAAAAGCAATCAAATTACGTGAAAAATTTACAGTAATCAATTGCTTTGAAATCACAGTGGCGGTGATAGGAGTCTACTATAAGGATTGAACGGACAATCCATTGAGGGATTCTTTTTTAACTTGCACGAAATTTTGGTCAAATATCTCAAAATTTCTATGGACTATATTGCATCATTTTTTAAAAATTATCTTAATATATTGTCAATATTACTTTGATGATATTTAATTTTTGTATTGCAGTAAAATATTTAATAGATATATTGCCACAAAAAAGATTCCTTATATTAAATGAAATTCCTAAATAAAAAAAAATAATTCTTTATTACTATCTCCCTACGAATTCTTTTCATCTCCACCTGATAGTACATTTTCTTATTCCATCGTCAATTAGTTCTGTCACTTAATACAAATACAATCAGACGGATACTGTGTCGTTATTCTATTCTGTTTTTATTTATGGGAACCAATAAAGACGATTTATAAGGAACATCTTGTCCATATAATGGTAAAAACATATATACGAGTAGAAGAAAGGAATATTCTGTTGTGTAAAAAATAAGGACATGAAACCACCGATAAATTTATTCGCGAAAATAAATTCTTGTTGTGTTGATGGTAATAAAATAGGCTTTTAATTTTGCCTTTGATATACTGGATAAGTACAAGGAATTTGAATGATTACAAAGGTTTGATTCCCGCATGACATTTGACATGCTACAAATGTAAAAATTAACAAACAAAAGGAAGAGAAATGTTTTATATTTTTATTTTAACCGATTAAAATTGTCAAAAAAAAAAGTTTTAAATGGCTGGCGGACACTTATTCACATTTGCTTGTTATTTGTCATTTCGCAAAAAAGAAAATAATGAACAAGACATGATTTTTTTGGTATTGTAGCATTTTTTCTCACTGGAAGAGTTTTGTCATTTCATTCCTAGGAGAGAAAAGTGTGCATTCTTTAACAACTACATAATAACGAACTATCACTCAAATTTGACAGCAGACAAGCAGTGTTATGGGTAGTTATATTACATGCAATTAGTGTTTTGTATTAACAAGAACAACTTATCACTCAAATAGATAGCAGATATTCGGTATCATGTGTAATGAGACCTCATGAAATTAGCGATTGTCTGTGAGATCTTCATAGGTCGAAACAACTACAGATTTAATATGAACTATACCAGGAGTTGTTCCATCGTGATTGGTGATTGATCACGTGCTGAAAAATATCTACTCCAATGAGAAGTGTAGGAAGGTGCCCACTCCTCTCTTGAAAGATTCAAATGTTGATTAATTTTACGCAATAAAATATTTCTAAATAAAAGGCAATGTAATTGTTATTGTTAAATATGTTATTGTTAAAAGATGTTTTTTTCTAATTTATAACAAATTAGAAAATATGAAATAGAATATTTCTTTTTATATTTGAGTATTTATTTTTCTCCTTTCTACCAAGGTGTTTCTATATTGTACACTTTTACAGATATCTGAAATAAGTCCTATTAATTTATTTTTTATTATTAAATTATTAATTCAAATGCCCGACTCGTGGCTCAGTGGCAACGTGAGCCGCTGGTGAGAATTATTGCGAAGGTTTAATCTACTGGCGGCTTCATGGATGGCGTTTGTGATGTTCAGTATCTTGCTTCTTTAATCGGACTACCTGATGGAAATTTTCCGTTTTTTCTCCCATACGATACACAAATGCGGGGTAGTTCCCCTTAAACTTCCTCCCGGAATGCACTGCCCTCCTTCTTCAGCAACACGCAGAAGAAGTCAGACTTCCACCTACGTCCATCAAAAACAGAAGCTGCCATCCTCCTTCAATTCTTCAAATTGTTTAATCGGTTTATAGTTATTAATAATTATCATGCTTTAGAATATATATATATATATATATATATTTGAACAATTGAAGGAGGATGACAGCTTCTATTTTTGATGGAGACCCGTAGGCAGAAGTCTGACTTCTTCTGCGTGTTGCTGAAGAAGGATATATATATATATATAGAATATATATATATATATATATATATAGAATATATATATATATATATATATATATATATACTGCCAAAATGGCCAGCAAATTGGTGATAACAAAAATCTAGCAAGATTTGAAATTTACCATATTATATGATGAATTTTTCTGTATCAAAATTTGATGCCTCTAGCTCATTGTTTCTGTAACTAAGAAACTAAAAAGAAAAACATATTCTGCATAAAAAATAATAAAATACTTCATTTACCATGTAACGAACTGTTTTAATTTATTACTTGATTTGCATTACTTATTCACAGAATAGCACTTCAGTTTGACACTTTTGAAAGGTAAATTTGTAGACAATATTTAGTTACGAGAAATTAAAAAGAGCAATGTACTTTGTAAATATAGTATGCGAGCAAAAAAAAAATTTAATCATCTAGTACATACTCATAAAAGTTTCATTAAATAAACTATGCACATTTTCTTTGCCTGGTCAATGTTTGAAGTACGTATCTTTTAGTCTTCCTATTGACATTTGATAAAATTTTATGAGAGCTCTTCAAATATAAATATGGTTTTTTTTTTTCTATTCCTTTGTGAAAGTGGTAATAAAAAAAATAGAAAGACAGCTTTTGATCTTTGTTAAGGTGCATAATAATTTCTTCATTATCAATAGCTGAATGACTAGCGCTCTGGCTCTCTGTGCCATAGGTTTCGGGTTCCAGTTAAGGTGGTGACATGGATGTTTGTAGTGGTTCGGAATCTACTTTAAACCGTAGGTCCCGGTCTAATATGACTGTAGAGCGTTGCGCGTAGGCCTAATAACCCTACTCCATAAAAAGGAAAAAACATATCTTGTTTCGAAATTGGCCAGTAGACAGAGGGCCTTGGCCCCACCGTGGGGCTGTTGCGCAACTGATGATGATGCAATAACAGATTGACGACAACAGCAATATTAATTCAAATTATTTAATTGAGTTAAGTTATTAATAGTTCTCATGCTTTAGAAAATACTGGTATATATATATATCCCAATGGCAAGCAAATTGATGATAACAAAAAAGTTAACAAGATTTTAAATTTACCATATCATTTGGTGAATTTTTCTGTATCAAAATTTGATCTGGCTAACTAAAAAAGAAGAAAAACATATTTTGCAT